CGCCCCTCCAACTCCATCCACCCGGGCCAGATGCGGCGCCCACCCCCGCCGCTACTGCCGCCGCCGCCCCCTAGCCCCGTCGCGTCCGCCTCAGGCGCGGCCCAGAGAGCCCGGGGCCTCCGGCTCCCGCTTGGCCCCCGCGGACACGCCCCTCCACCTACCATTGGTAGAGAGGCCAAGTTAGCTCCACCTCTTTCCTTACGTAAGAAAAACATGCCTGTGGTATTAGTGAAGTTGCTTGTCATTCTCCCGTTCTAAGGCGGGGGCTACCGCCTAGGTCCCGCCTCTTCCCCTTTGATCTTGGACGCTTCTTGTTTATTGGCCATTGATTGGCCAACATGTAAAATCAACCCGCCTCCGACTTTTTAGGAGGGCGGGAGAAACTTAAGGCTGAACTTTGATAGGCTCAACCACCCTTGATACTTTGACCGCGGCCATTGGTCCGCACCACGTTGGGCTCCCATTGGTTGCAGAATGAGAGCGAAGCGCCAGGGGACTATCCGGCCGATTTCGGGCCCCTGACTGGCGCCAGAGGAGCTGCGGGCGCTGCGGGCGGAATCGCGTGGGGGCGGGGCGGTGCCAGGCCTTCAAGGTCAAACCGCTCCCGGGTGCCGTTACGACCCGCGCTCAAGTGCGCGACCCAGATCCCGAACGCTTGGCCCCAGGACTGGCGGCCCTGGCGCGGAGAGCCGTATTCCCGCGGGATCTCGTAGTGGGCGTGAGTCCGAGCGGACTTGGGCTGGGCATCCCCGGGCGCGGTCCGTGTGCCTCTCCGGGAAGTTGTTGCGACATGCCGGGCGGATCCCGCCTGGGAGGATCGCGGCGGCCCGTTAGGCCCCACTTGGGTCTGGAGTGTTGAGCCCTCAGGCCGCCAGCGGACTCCGGAGGACTCTGTGCCCCTCGGGTCCCCGCGCCCCGCACCCGGCCTTGGACCCAATGCCGCTCGGTAAACCAGGCAGTGGTTGAATGAATGAGTTCTCCCGGGTCCCTTCGTCGCTGGGCCCTGCGCCAGCCGGAGAGCCGGAGGCGGGGAAGGGAGATGTCGAAATGGGGCGGGATGATTCAGAGATGACGACAGGTGGAGAGGTCGGACTGGCGGGAGGGGCTGCAGCAGGGAAAGTATGGCAGTTACTGGGATTCTCGGTGTTCAGCTTGCCCTGGGTCTGAAACAGCAGCGCCTTGCCCCCGAGCTGACTCGCGAGAGCCCCGCCGCCTGCAGAGGATTGCCTTTTGTTATACGACCGTTGTCCCTCCCTGTCGGGTCAGCTGGAGTCTTGAGAGGGGCACTCCGGCTGTACAACAACGCCAGCGATCCCCAGCCGTCAGGGCCCCAGCGTTGCACAAGGGCGCGTGCTTCTTGGAGACGCCGGGGAGCTGCGCTAGAGCTCCAGCCTGGCTGAGAGACTTTCATGCTTCCCATTCCGTCTTTCCCTCCTCGGCCTCTCTTGCCTGGAACTTGTTTGCATAAGACCCCTCGCTGTTTCCAGCTCCGTATCTAATACCTATTTTTTAAATTTGACCAGAGACGATGAGGCAGTTAAGAACTTTTTCTGGGCTTCGGGTGTGTTTCACCTTTTAAAAAGAAAGTGTATCTCTTCCTCTTCAGTGTTTAACCTTAGTATCACGACTTTTTGGAAAATAATAAAGCTACAAAACTCCCCTCCTTCTGTCCCCTGTGCATACAGAATTTTGCATATCATCTCCGAGCTTTAGAGACCCTGAAAGTGGTTGATGAACTCCCTTGACCATTAACCTCAAGTAAAGAACGTCTCCCCTGTAGCTTGTTCCGTCAAACCCTATTCTCGAGCTCGTTTCCCTACCCACTCAATCCTGCCAGAGCATCAAACCTTTTTCCTGCCACTTAACACCAGTAATGACCTATACCTGCTATGTCCTTCCTTTCGTATAGTCTTACATTTTCACGCCATTCGGTAGTCACAAAGGACCTTTTCAAGTCAAACTTACTTCTACTTTTCTTTACTGAGAGATATTACTTGCCACTTAGTGACCCATCCTAGCTTCAGGAATTACTCTACCTTTTACACTTCTCGGTCTCACGCTTCTCTGGCCATTGTGGTGAAACATTCCTAAAAGTTTCATTCTTCCTGTTGTCTAATACCTCAGAGAACTTTGCCATTCCACTGTTTTCCTCATTGGAACCCTATCTCTGTTTCCCTTATCGCGTTCTCTCTCTCTTTCTTTCTCTCTAATGATACAGCCACTCTGGAAACATCTGCAACCTTTTCTTTTTTAGAGAGATTTTAACTATAGGGTGCACGCTCTTGCTGGAGAGACAGAGAAAATGAGAAATCACCTCCCAGGAAGGTTGGCCACTCTGTAATCCCTTCTCCATTCTCTCAGGATTTGGGGCATGCACACACATGTGACTAGCATGAGTTTTAAGTTGCTGGGCCCAGGACTTGAACTGTAGTTGGCCATGTGGGAGTCCAGCGCCTTAACCACAACAGCACCTGATGGCCCCTATTTTCATTTAACAACAACAACAACAAAAAAAAACATTTATTTTGGGGCCAGCAGGTGGTGTGATGATTAAATTACTGGATCCCACATGGCATGTTCTGTAGTTTGAGTCCCCAGACCTCGTGGCCTAAAAAACACACAGCGCATGTGCGTTGCATGTGTGTGTGTGTGTGTGTGTGTGTGTGTGTGTGTGAGTGTTCCCAAAATCCTGAAAAGAGAAAAGGGGAGGAGGGCTTGTGGCATGGCCATCTCCCCTGGGATGTGATTTCTCACTTTCCCTCTCTCTCTCCCTCTGTCTCCATCTCTCTCTGGCAAGTGCATGTATTCTATGGCAAAAAATCTTTTAAAAAATATTTCTTCCATGAGCAAGTGGGGGAGAGAGAGAGAAAGACAACAACTCCAGCAGGGTCTTGACACTGATCCACCCCCAGCTTCAGCCAGCTTAGATCATGGGAATGTGCATCCCAGCCTACTCAGGAAGGTCTTGGACTTGAACTGGGTACCCTTCCATGTTTTGGACTATCTTACAGAGCATCTTGCTTTACCATTGTGCCACTGTCTGGTCCCAACCCCCCACATACTTTTTAACTGTCATTTCTTTGGTTATATTCATTTGGCAAATGCTTATTGAGAACCAACTCCATGCCTGACTCTTAAAACTGGGGATACACAATAGAGTTTGTGTTATCAGGGAGCTTTCTTACTTTTTTTTTTTTTTTTTTTAATTTGCTGTAGGGCACATGTACTCACCAGAGAAGGACAGTTGACAGAGAGCGAGAGAGAAAGAAGGAAATTGAGAAACCACTTCTTGAGGGGATGACCATCCCGCAATTTCTTCTTCATTCTCCTCTCCTCCATTCTCCTCTCGGGCTTTTGGGCATGCATGCATATACTCCTGGTGTGATTTAAAAGCCACTGGGTCTGGGACTGGAACCACAAAGTCAGCTATTTGGGATCCAGGCGCCTTAACCTCCATGCCACCTGCTGGCCCCTAGAGCATACTTTTTAACAGAGGTGGAGATGGACGATAGAGAAGCAAGAATATCAGAGAACTCTAGTGCTGTGCTAATGCTTGACATAGGGCTATGTGATATAGTGTAACCGGGTGGTTACATTGACGTGGCTATGGAAGGCCTTTGAGGAGATGGTACTTACATTGTTTTGAATGGCAGGCAGGAGTCAGTCATGACTGATCTGGAGAAGGGCATTCAAGTAGAAGAAATAAGTACAAGTATAAGGTGAGACAGAAGGCCAGCGTGGCTGGAACATGGTGAGGGGGAGGTGGTAGATGATGAGGCTGGAAAGAGAGGCAAGGGCAAATATCCACTTTAATATCTGTCTGCATGTGTTCATTCCAAAGTCAGTACTTCCATTCTCCACCCCAACCAATTCCTCTTAAAATTCCTTTTTCTACAAGAATCATTATTTGTCCAGTTACTCTGAAGTTGAAGTCTTCCTTGACTACCGTTGGAGTAATTATTACTCTAAAATGTTTCTTTTATTCATGCTGTCCCTTTTCTTCCCACTGATATTATATGATCTTTAAAATTCATGGAAAAATTTATGAAAAAGCCATAGATTTAAAGAATTTTTTACATCAAAATTCATATTTTAATTCCAATTTTCCTCAAACTTCCTCTGAATTCGATAACATCTATATTGTAATGACTCCTTGAAAGGCTTTCTTCATTTTTTTTTAAATTATTTATTCCATTTTATTATTATGTTAAAATTTGACCAGAGAGAAAGGGAAAGTGAGAAAGAAAGCTGCCAAGTCTGAGTCTTGAACCATGGTTGGCCATGTGGGAGTCCAGCATCTCAACCACTACACCATCTGCCATCCCCAGGATTGTTCTTTTTTTTTTTTTTTTAATTTTTTAAAGAAAAATGTTCTATTATTTATTTTTCAACTTTAATTCACTAGAGAAAGGGAACGTGAGAAAGCAAGCCACCAGGTCCAGTATTCAAACTGTGGTTGACTATGTGGGAGTCTACCCCTTTAATCGCCACACCACCTGCAGGTCTACATAGGTAAGGCTGGTCCAGCTAATGGTGTGGTGCAGTGGTTAGGGTGGCTGGATCCCAGGCGGCCTATTGCACCATTCTCGTTCTGGACCCTGTGACTTGAAATATGCCAGACACATGTGCATGTGTGCCCAGAATCCTGAAAGGAGGGAGACATACATGACCATTCCTCTTGGGAGGGGGTGCTTTCTTATTTTTTATCTCTCCCTCTTTCTCTGTCTCTCTCTAGCAAGTGCACATGCCTTCTAGGAAATTAAACAAAAGAAAAGATATGGCCATGTGATTTGCATTGGCTACCAAAATATCACATATTTCCTTCGCCTGCTCCATGACTAGTGTCAAACAGCAGGTCTCCTTTAAACTGGGGCCCTGGTGAGGATGACACAAAGTACAGTCCTCTACTTGCTATCTCCTTCTCCCAGGTGAGCTTTCAATGAGTGAGAAATCTTTA